CAAGTACCACCCTACCCGTACCCTTCGCTCTTCACAGGACCTCCTTCTATCTTGCTCCCTGGTCTCCTCCTCCCATGCACGACTGCAAGATTTCTCCAGGTCCTCCCCCATACTCTGGAACTCACTACCCCAATCCATCAGACTGTCACCTTCCCTCCTCACCTTCAGGCGCTCCCTGAAAACCCACCTCTTCAGGGAAGCCTACCCCACCCTCACCTAACAGCCGTTCTCCTTCATTCCTCCTACCACTCCATCCCCCACAGCCACTTCCTCCTGTACCACTATCCCCTCCCTCCTAGATTGTAAGCTCGAAAGAGTAGGGCCCTCTAACCCCTCGTGTGATGTTTGTTGTTGCTGTACTGTTTCATATATTGTCCCCCCCTCTATTGTACAGCGCTGAGCAAACCCTTTGGCGCTATATAAACTCGATGTAATGTAATGTATTTCATAAATTTGCATTCTCTTTGTCCCCAGTCACCCACTCTAGATTATTTTGTAAAGAGCCTACATGCTGGCCCCTGACCTTTTATATTTGAAGATTTTTTGGGGGTTTGTCCTGCTATCTTTTGCAATTTGTTTTTCATTTTCAATTTTTGCGGCCAATGATACTAAAATATGCACCAGCAATTGTACATAAAATATTCAATTAAAATAATCTTATTAGTGTATAAAGATTCACGTAAATAAACATATGTGCAATAAATACCATGTCAGAGAAAGCTATTAAAATTAGGAGTTCTTGGAGAGATAGAGAGAAACACGGAAATATTTCATAGACATGGTTTGCGTGCATAAACATAGGTTTTTTTTGTTTGTTTATATAATAAAGCCACGCAACTAGGAATATTGGGCACTAACCCATAGCCACCATTTAGATTGCAGCTTTTGTCAATTTAAAGACTTACAAAAAATAAAATATGATGACTGCTATAGCTTACAACAGCTTACTCTATGTTCTGCCATTTGCGCACACACACACACAAATAAAAAAAAACAGACTATATATAGTTGCAGACTATTACTTTTCAGTCCATATTTTTATAAATACATAAGATGACATGTATCTATATGCAGCCATAATAACCATTAAAGTATATCAGGTTTTTAACATCCATGCAATGTTTCCCAGGATTCCACAGATCACTGGGGCACACTAGTTAGCACATCCTCCCTCTTTAAGATGAATGTCATCTTTGTATGTATATATGGGAATAATCAGGTAATTAAAACTCTGCTGTATGTGATATATGTGGCTATACATTGTACATATCATTGTAGTCCTGTGTGGTTGAAGACCTGATCAATAAAGTGTGCAGCAGTATAGGGATGGAGAATGACCACAAGCAGCCCGTTGAAACCACGATGTTCATGAAATGCTAAGAACCAAAATGAAGTTGTGCTGCCGATTACCTAGGTAGAGCGGCACTCTGTGCTGGGACAAGCTCTCCCCTGAGACCATATCCTAGGGCTCTTAGTCCACACTGGCCCCTCGGGGTGCCCTCATGTGGTCTCTTTGTGCTTGGTGGGGGATTGGGCGATGACACACAACAAGATCCATCATCCAGGGAAGCCCCGAGGCAGCCTCACTGTACAATCCCTGAAGGTTTAGGGACTGCAGACCAGGAGAACCTGTCCACCTGAAACTTCCAGCCAATTGCCGTTGGTACTCTGGAGGGCTGCAGCTGATGCACCTTGGACTTGTGGCCCGGAAGAAGGTGTCACTGCAAATGTTGCGCTCAGGGTGATAGTACCAACTCCAAAGAAAATCAAAACCTCAATAAATAAATGCTGCTGCTCATAGATGATGAAAAAAACATCAATACAATGTGACCAAACCGCAGCGCAAGAAAAATATATAAATAAATAAATTAAACAATAAACAAACATGTACAAAAATAAATAATAATATTAATAAACAGAAGTCCAAAAATCCCAAATCAGTAGTGAATATTGTGCTCCAATCAGAAAATAGTGCTCAAAAAACTCTCCAACCTGCCCGCACTCACCAGATGAAATGGACTCTTAGCTGATATGGCTTAAGAGTCAAACAGGCTTAAAGGTGGGGTATAATAACCTCCACAAACGTACCCCACTCAGGAAATCCTTGCTTGACAATCTCCAAACGATCACCCATAGATGGATAGCAATGCAAAAGAGATAACAGAAACACTAATAGTGTGATACTGTATAAACCTTTTAATAGTTAAAAAATCAATGCACATATTGTACTCACATTTAAAAAAAAATGTTCAAGATTTTTTAAACATATAGACTCCTCAGGCTGATAACAGATCCCATCAACATTAATCCATGGAAGCAAAATAGCAGATCGCATCAGCATTAGAAAGTGAACTGGCAGCAGTCTATGGAGATCTGCTCTCCTCTCCAACAAATGGTTCTAAAATGCCGCCACTAGCGTGCGTTCCACTCAAAGCCTCCGTCGGAACCGGAAATTGCGGCAACACGTTTCACCCCTCCTCCAGGGCATTATCCCAGATCTTCTATTTATATTACTATATATGATACATGATGCTAGACAAGCTATAGAATCAAATGCGTTATTCATTAAACTTGCAACTGAGCTAAAGTCACTGAGGTTATCTAGATTTTGTAAACTTTTTACTATAAATATAAAGTAGAACTGTTGCCTCTCAATAAATAAATCAATGAGTTATGCAGCCTCCTCCTTATTCTCCAATTTGTGCAGATGAGGCTGGAGTGGGATGGAGAAAGGGAAGTGCTTGGGACTGTGGTCATGGAGGCAACACATATGAATGTACAATATGTGGACATCAAACAGCCAATTAATAAACACAGGCAAGTAAAAGCAGTCATTACAATTTTCAGGTATCAATTAGGCAGTTGTGACTATTTGTGGAAATAAATGGGCAATTGTGAAAATACATGGCACTAACAGGCAGCTGTCACAACGCACCGGCATCAAAGTGCAATAGTTATAATAAACAGATAGTGATAGCATGATTAATGTAGTAAGAGCCCAGTAAAACATATTCTGATGTAGCAACTTTAGGGCCAGTGTTGATGTGTTTATGTTCCTTTTAAAACATTTTTCCCATACAAGTCTGGGAATATAAAAGCAGCTGAAGAAAGTCCAATGCAGGTCAACTGCACCTGCAGTGAATTCTGAAGATCACAGGAGCATCTCAAACTGATATCTAGAGCATGTTGCATTTGGCCATTGAAGCTTTTCACCCTAAGTGTGATACTTTCATTCACTGGCACTATCACGGCACCCTGCAATGGGGTGGACCACATCCATTAAACCCTGCCCCAGGCGTGCCACTGCATGGAAGCCTTCAATTTTGTATATTCAAGTTCAGGGCAAACATAAATATAAGGATTCTGTCAACTATGGGATTTGATTACTATAGCAGGGTAGTCAGCTGCGCAAAATAAATGTCACAAAGACAAGTTAGACTGGTAGGTTATATCTCCTGGGCCAGTTTAAGTGCTCAGGAATTGCAGTGTACTTTTAACACATCTGTTTAAACATTGAATTTTTGTACAGTAGCCCAATTAAAGCATTAGAATGTTTCATGAATGCAATGTTTTTTTTGCTAGTCATTTTAAAGCTTTGGTTTCTAACATTTATTTGTCAATGGCAAATTCCCACTGTGTCATGTAAAACAGTTTACAGTTATCAGAGCTGGGTTTTATCACTTTGTAATACATGTATATGGAAGCAATATGCCATGTATAACCACAGATAGATAATGCTCTTTTTTTTTTTTTGCAACATTTTTTTCTCCATGACATTGCATGCACCTGTCAGCCTCTACATACTTTACCCCACAACATTTAAAGGTAGGCATAAAAATGTGTCCATGCTGAAGATGCCCACATGTTCTCTATTAGCTATAACATAAATTATTTGACACTTTGTACTATCGTATGGTGTAACAGATGTTCAAATGATTTGCATGTTACCATCACCCTCACCACATATGTGATATATGTGATTTTGTGTTACCAGAACATCTGCTGACAATTTGTGTGATGTGCCCAGACGATCGATCTCTAAAGGTAAGAAGAATTAACTTTTTCACCATTAGGCCATTGTTCTTCTAAAATAAGTCTGGTAGTGTATGCCTATGCAATGACCTGTTGGGAAGACAACTGCTTGGAATGTGGAAAGTTCATGCATGACCCAACTATCACCTAATGATGATGTCAGTGATCTTCCTTTGTCTCTCTGATTAAGTAACTTCTCCAATTATTGGTTATTTAATAAAATACAGCAGAGGGACACAACAAACCGTTCCTGAACATTGCCTACTTAGAACCACTGTTGTTCTATAGACTTTACTTCTGTTCATTAACTTACTGCTATTGATACTCTAGTGTGAATTGACACTCACAACACAGTGAATGAAGTGTAAACAGGAATTTTGAAGTATCAATGTTATAGAATTTGGCTACATTGTAATTACTCTGCTTCATTCATAGCAGATCAAAAGGGCAACCTTTGATCTGTATATGACATCTCTTAACCACTAGCCTACAGGGCACTTATACCCCCTTCCTGCCCAGGCCAATTTCCAGCTTTCAGCGCTGTTGCACTTTGAATGACAATTGTGCGGTCATGCAACACTGTACCCATATGAAATTTTTATCATTTTTTTGTGACAGATAGAGCTTTATTTTGGTGGTATTTAATAACCACTGGGTTTTTTCTTTTTTCTTAAACAAACCAAAAACCACTGAAAATTTTGAAAAAAAAATGTTTTTTTCTAGTTTTTGTTATAAAATTTTGTAAATAAGGGATTTTTCTCTTTCACTGATGTGCGCTAATGAGGCTGAAGTGATGGGCACTGATAGGCTGCACTGATGGACACTGATAGGTGGCACTGATGGGCACTGATGAGGAGGCACTGGTAGGTGGCACTGATGGGCATTGACAGGCATCACTGAGGGGCACTGAAAGGCAGCACTCATATGTGGCACTGATAGGCGGCACTGACTGGCACTGTTAGGTGACACTGATAGGCAGCACTGATGGGCACTGATAGGCGGCACTGATGCACACTGATAGGCGGCACTGACTGGCACTGATAGGTGGCACTTATTGGCATTGATAGGTGGCACTGACTGGCACTGATGGGTGACACTGAAAGGCAGCTCAGATGGGCACTAATATGTGGCATTTATGTGGCAATGATGGGCACTGGCAGGTGGCATGGATGAGCACTGAGAGCTGGCACTGATGGACACTGACAGGTGGCGCTGCTGGGGCTACACAGATCATCAGGGCACACTGATCATCAGTGCCCTGATGATCTGTGTACATGTTCCCTCCGAGGAATGCCAATTACCGGCTCTCCTCTTCTCACGAGCTGTCAGCGTGACAGCTCGTGGGGAGAGAAATGCCGATAACTGGCATTTCCCTATTTACATGTGATCAGCTGTGATTGGACACAGCTGATCACATGACCGAGCCGACATCTTTGGCTCTTTCCGTGGATCGGTGATTGGCTGTGTCCGAGGGACACAGCGCACCACCGATTGCCGCACTGCGCTCTCCAGGAGCCGCGCATGCACAGTGAGAATGGGAGGACATCATATGACGTCCTCCCAGAACGAGAGAACCACCTTGCGTCCATCATATTACTATATGGTGGGCGGGAGGCCGTTAAAGCATCCTTACAAGTACAAAAAAACTTTTCTATTTAGCTCTTAACTCTTAAATAACCCTTACCAACCCTATCTCCTTCCTCCCCTTTTACTTTTAGGTATTATTTTGCTGCAAATTTTTTTTATTAGTATTTTTTTATCAATTATATGTAAATGTATGTAAAACATGTAAATATGTACAGTATATGCAACTTTTTTACATTTTCCATAGTTTTGTTCCTTAATTTTAATAACTGTACATTTGTAAATATTTTTTTAATACACACATAATTTTGCTTTTATCATAAGTAATGAAAAAGTTATTGCCAATTGAATAGGATGATGGAGATCTGGTACATAAGGGGTATCCTGGTGTGAGTGCTGAAGAGGTTTTATTGTACTTCACTTTGGTCTCCTGTCTCCTAGAAGTGTCAACTGTCTAAAATGTATTTGTATGCTGTAGCATTAACATTTGAAACACTAGAAGTCAATATCTTGGGAAGGTGTCTACATACTTTTGGCCATATAATGTAGGTGTGATTGTCAGGTATTCATAAACCCTTGGCCATATAGGGTATATGAACCCTCTGATTGGCAATCTCAGGTTGTGGGGTGGGGAAGGCATTTATGGGGTTTTTAGTTTCTACAATTTTAAATTGTTTTATGCTTTGTACATTAAAATTTAATACATGACAAATGCTTTCCAGAGCATTACGGGTTAGCTAAAAAAAAGAAGATAGTAACTGACTCCTTTTGGGCAGACTGGCTCTTGGTGAAACCTGGGAAAGTGCTGACTAATAAAGGATTATTAACAGTTATGAGTCATCCAGTCCTCTGTGTACAAACTGTCCTGTCTAAACAGCTTTTTTAAGGGGCAAATAGTTATATATGGCAAGGTGAAAGTGAGTCCAAAGCTCTACTTGCTGGCTCAGAAAGAGGGTATAATATTTCATATTTATTTGAAATATGTCAGATTTACCTGACTAAAAAACATGTTTTGTAAAATATATTTTTTTAGTTCTTACTATAATAAATAAAAATTATGTAGCAAACTGTCTTACATTCATTTTAGAACCAGAAGTGACTGCCACTTTCTGTTGAATGAACAGATTCAGTGAGCTACTGCTTCCACTGCCAATGCACAGACTTAGATCTTGAAAGTGTCCAGAGACTTTTACCATGCATAACACTATATTACTCATTGTATCTGTAGTGTGAAGTTCACATATGAGAAATGTGAGAGCCTAAAATAAATACTACATGACCCTGAGATGTGTGAAGACCCTTGGGAGTTTAGAAAATGAAATGCCTATCAGTCTCTGACACAGCAGACGCTCCCTTCACTTGGCAGCTTTATGCTTCATTACACTTGACTGAGATATATAGGTACAGCCTGAGGCAGCCACTATAGTCTAAAAGTAAGATGCATTCTGGGACAGGCAACTGTGTCACTTGCTCTAGAATTAGAATGATTTGGGCTAAATCACTGATAAATAAAAAAGAGGCTATTTCTTTTTAACTAGCTATAAGGATATATTGCAGTCATACTAAAAACAGATGTGTTAACATGTAAGAAATGCATAAGAAAGCATGCATTACACAACTATGTACAAAACAAAAAATTTGGTAATATTATTATTACAGGTACTTATATAGCGCTGTCAATTTTCACAGAGCTTTGCATATATATTGTACATTCACATCATTCCCTGCACTCAGGTAGCTTACAATCTAAAGTCCCTAACTGACATTTATACATACACATGCTAGGTCCAATTTAGACAGGAGCCAATTAACCTACCTACATGTCTTTGGAGTGTGGAAGGAAACCAGAGTACCCAGAAGAAACCCACACAGGCACAGGGATGACATGCAAACTTTAGGAAGGTAGTGCCATGATTTGGGTTCAAACCAATGACCCTAGTGCTTCTAGGTGGAAGTGATAACCAGTTAACCACTGTACTGCCCACAGCATTAACTCTAAAATTGGTAGGGCTGCTTTTCTTTGTCTGGATTTTGTTTTGTTTTGAATGTACTGTTTGGCCTATAAAGAACTTTGAGCCCACATAACTTTCGGACCTACTATAATCCTTCCTTAAATACCTGCCTGACAAAGGGATTACTTTACTAATGTGAGGTGTGGTTTCCTTCAGATATCCAATTAATTGCAGGATGATATAAAAATAGGGATTCCTTAATTGCCAACACTACCTCATTTGGTGGGACAGTTCCTCTTTTGGAATTAGATCTCTCTATCCTTATGTCCAACTTAAAGCTCTGGTGAAGAGATCTGTAAGTAATATTTAACTGCCAAAGTTGTTTATACTGCACTAAACTTTCTATCTATTTTCATATTATTGCACTGGATAGAATCCAGCTCTAATGGAAATTACAGGTGAAAAACTCCAGAGCCATTCTTGCACTTTAATCTGTCATAGTTTGGGTGATCAAGGGTGTGGCAAAAGAGGGTCCATTGCCTAAATATTATGTTCTAAAAAGTGTCCTTCTTTTTCATCTCAGGAGGTTGGAAGCTATGCATGTGATCAGATGTTTGAAGCAAGCTATATATATCTCCATCCTTCACTTTAGAGCACTTTTGTAAAAGACCCCCTGAGTGGTCATTATGGATAAATTAGGGCATTGCAAAGATTATGTTTTGATCTTGTAGTGAACACTGTAGGATTAGCCTTTGATTCCTTGGAGTGATGGAGTTCAGCTTCAAACACTTGGATATAGCTGTTTAATTGAGCACAAATAAAGGTGTTCATCAGTTATTTTGTTTCCTTCCCCTGTCCTAATATTATATTCATTGGTCAATTTAATTTATAAAACAGTGTATTAGGACAGGGATGACTTTCTAGTAAAAGGTACGTTTTAAAGTAAATAAACCATCCTGTGCAAAAAATCCATTGTGTAGTATCTAAAAAGTACTGAAATTTATTATTAAAGATAAAAATGCACTTACAAACAAAGTGAAAAGGGAGGCATGTAGTCCATATGGCCAGGAGCAACAGACTGCCCAGGTCACATCAATGTGCGGGAGTCCCAGGACTAAAGTGGATGTCTCACTGCTGCTAACAGGAAGATGCTGGCTCTGTCCTGAAGGGTAGAGAGACCGGTTGTTGTCAGTTGCAGACACACCTACCAAGATGATGTCATACATCACAGAGGAGGGCTGCATTTCTGGGGGGATCCCCTTTCATCAGCCTAACAGAGGATTACATATGACTGTATATAAGGCTGGCTGTATTTAAACCCATTAGGAAACAGCTACGCAGCGGCCATGTTATCTAGACTGAACACTAAAAATAGAGAGTTTGGTATACTTTTTGTTTTTTTTTAGGAAAATCTGTCATGAGAGAAATATGGCTATCATTGCTGTCCTCCTTATGAAAAATGCTGATTGCTTGGTTTATTATTATATTATTATTATTATACAGTATTAATAAAGCGCCAACAGTTCGCTCAGCGCTGTACATTACAAACATGCGACAGTACAATAACAATACAATGCGATACACGAGGGGTTCGAGGACCCTGCTCTTTCGAGCTTACAATCTAGGAGGGAGGGGATAGTGGTACAGGAGGAGATAGCTGTGGGGGATGGAGTGGTAGGAAGAGTGGAGGAAGACGGCAAATTAGCAGGGGGTGGGGTAGGCTTCCCTGAAGAGGTGGGTTTTCAGGGTGCACCTAAAGGAGAGGAGAGTAGGTGATAGTCTGATGGATTGGGGCAGGGAGTTCCAGAGGATGGGTGACACCTTGGAGAAATCCTGGAGGCGGGCATGGGAGGAGGAGACCAGGGAACTAGAGAGAAGGAGGTCTTGTGAGGAGCGGAGAGTGCGTGTTGGGTGGTACTTGGATATTAGGTCGGTGATGTAATTTGGGGCAGTATGGTGGACAGCTTTGTACGTCAGTGTTAGGATTCTGAATTTGATCCATTGCGCAATCGGAAGCCAGTGGACGGATTGGCAGAGGGGGGTGGCGGAAACGGAGCGGTTGGTAAGATGAATGAGTCTGGCTGCCGTATTCAGGATCGACTGAAGCGGGGATAGCCTGTGGTGGGGCAGGCCAGTGAGGAGGGAGTTGCAGTAGTCGAGTCGTGATATGATGAGGGAGTGGTTGAGCTGTTTAGTGGTTTCTGGGGTTAGGAACGTGCAGATTTTGGCGATATTGCGGAGGTGGAGTCTGCATGAGTTTGTTAAAGATTGGACTTGGGGCTGGAAGGATAGGTTGGAGTCCAGAATGACACCAAGTACTCTGGCTTGCTGGGAGGGTCTGATAGTGGTATTGTTGGACGTGATTGAGAAGTCAATGGGGTGTGGTGTGCGGGCTGATGGAAAGACTAGGAGCTCGGTTTTGGAGAGGTTCAGTTTAAGGATGTGGAGCGACATCCAGTCTGATATGTCGTACAGTAGGTTTGTGATTCGGGCGGAGACTGAGGGGGTGAGGTGGGGGGTTGAGAGATTTGTGTGTCGTCGGCATAGAGGTGGTAGGTAAAGCCATGAAAGTGTATGAGTTGGCCAAGAGAGGAAATGTAGATGGAGAAGAGAAGGGGCCCGAGGTTGGAGCCTTGAGGGATCCCAACAGAGAGGGGGAGTGAGGGGGAGCTGGTAACGTTATAGGTAACACTGAAAGAGCATTGTGATAGGTAGGATGAGAGCCAGGATAGAGTGGAATCTCTGATGCCGAGGGAGTGTAGTCTATTGAAGAGGAGGGGGTGGTGGACTGTGTCGAAGGCCGTGGAGAGGTCAAGGAGTAGGAGCACTGAATAGTGGTCATTAGCTTTGGCGGTTAGAAGGTCGTTGGAGAG